GCCATCTGCGCTTGTGATTGGGACAATTTTCCATCTCATTCGATCATTAATACGTTCGTGGCTACCATTTTACCTGATACATTTACTCAACTCTTGCAAGAAACACGACGGATGTCGTGAAGAAGTACGAGCACACAAATCGCCGAAAACCCTCGTGTGCTTACATCCTATCCACAATCACAGCTCTGCAGACATTCATATGCACACTTACGTATTCGAGTCTCAATATTTGGATAGTCTTCGGCAGCTAATTGGTACTTGGTCATACTTTCGTAAAATATGCATAATTTTCAAATTCTCTTAATCTTGCATACCAGTGTAGTTCTAGCGGAGGGACTACACTTGAACTATTAATTACTCATAACTGATGCGTCGCTTTCTATATTAAGCGTGAACAACATTCGGTTTCGCAATGCCCTACTGAAATGTGGGACGAACGAAGGCTTCGAAGATATGGCTCAAGCACAGGCATTAAAATCTCGGTATAACTGGGATTGGTCAAAAGTACTGAATATGCGGAACAAAGGTGAGAAGATGTGTATCGAATGACACTCCAAGCCATCAATACAGTTGCTAGGACGGTATGCCGATAAAGAATATGTTCTCAAGCACAGATGTTCATTCCCTTCTATTAATTCAGTCCTAATCAGCTTTTATTGCATTTTACATTTTTGGTGGCTTATTTTTCTTAGCTTTATTCTTATAAACGTATTCGAATATTTTTTTTATTCTTGAAGTAAATATAAATTCAATTTTGTTCAGATGACAATTCAGCGGAAATTTCTCGGGTTCAAATTTTGGAAAATGCGCACAGAAATGTCAGCTATATGATTAACAATCGAATTAAGAAACTGATTTTTTAAATCAGTTTCTTAATTCAGATTTCTCTCTCCAGAATGAAAAATTCTGAAGTCTCTACTTTAGATTATTCTGAAATTGATGTAAACATTTTAGAACTTCACAATTAAAAAAATTAAAAACAACCATTAATTTTCTAAAGTCAATTTGAGTTGCTTTTATAGCTCTTTTATTACATGTGGTAACCCAGAAGTTCACAATGAAGATTCTCAAGATTCTTACGATATCAAAGGCCTCAAGGCTAAGCGCCATTGTTTCTATAGCGAAAAAACGGAGTGGAGCATGTTCAGAATTATATGATGAATTTGCAATCCCCATGAAACATGAATCTCTAAGTCTGAGCCATGTAGACCTAGACGATTATCAGAACTTGACTATATTTCCAAAATGTTGATTGTTTTTCAAACCTAAATAGATGCATATTACCTGATATAACATTTTGTTATTTAAGATGCAATAACCCGCCAAACAAAGTATTAATTTAGAAGTCAAACAACAAAAATCAGCGTTATATTTTCAAATATAACGTGTTTTTGTGTTGCTTATAATTAATTTTGTTGTTATTTAAATAACGGACAATTATTCACGATTTGAATGTGAGTAAAATCGCAGTTTTGAGTAGGAAATATATATATTACATGATAATATTTTATTTTTTGTTTTAAAACGTAAGCTCTTACACTCTTGATTTTTAAAGAGTACGGTTTCGTATTATGCGAAATTTAAAGAATGCAAATTACTGTATTATAGGCGACTTACTTGAATTTAGACCACTGCGTTTGTTAAGTTCCTATATATTCTTCTTAGCATGATCTACATATTTAGCTAAAATATGTATTTCATTCTAGAAAGCAAACCTGACATTTTTACACAATGTAGTTATATTATTGATACAATAATAATTTCAAAAAGAAACTTGAGGAAATTGTCCATAAATTGAATGTAGAATAATGACCAAGTTTAATTCACTATCTTATAATTTAACACTTTTCTCAAAGTTATAAAATACTTGCATAAAATATACAGCATACAAGGGTAAAGCAGATATATACAGTATTTATTCATTTTTGAAACTTGGATACGATTTTTGCAAATTTATTTATTTTTGAAACAGAATGTCTTGTTTTGACAGACAGTTTCAAAAACCTATATTTCTCGGTCATTTAAATATCGTGAAGGAAACTAGCAAAGTAAATGCTTCTGATGGTATCACCACATTGCGTCCTTGCACTATACATTGGTTTTTGATGCCTTTTTCCTAAGCTGGATATAAAAGGGTGAATAGACATCTCTAGTGGGTGCCAGAAATTGGTGTATAAATGCAGCAATTAAATTCCTCGAACATGAGATTATTGCAATATTTTAATTTTGCAGAAGTAACAAGGAAGTATCTGTTCCCTAACTGGAACTTCTACATGCAGTTCAAGGATGTCTTCTTAATTAAGAAGTTAAGTACACGCGATAGAACATAAAATTACAAACTGCTTTTTAAGATTCTGCTTTTCCGCTCTTTCTGCCAGGAAATCGACAGATTAACTGAAATTTATTTTTTGTCTCCTGGTGTTGTTAGTAGAAATTCAGTAATATTTAGTAGGTTAATTAAAATCTTAACTGGTGCTGTTAGTATAAATTCAGTAGTATTTAGTAGGTTAATTATAACCTTTGAACTTAAAAGAACTTTTTGAAACAGAAAACAGTACAGAGCTTCCTTAGACTAAGCGCGGTAAATGCTGTGGGTATTCTCAAATCTCGTAATTAAAGGAATATTTGTTAATATACTCTTAATTTTCTAGATGAAGAAGCAAGGAATTTCTCACGCAATTAATTTTTATGTACAATTCAATATTCAAATAGTTCTTTGACGAGAAAATATACGTAAGTCTTAAATTTATCTTAATAAAGTAGCTTAAACTTTTTAAATGCTATACAAGAATTATTAAATAGTGAGAAATTAATGGATTGTCTAAAAGGCATACTTTCAGTAGAATCTTCAACAACGAGACTGTTCGCGAAGCTAACACGGCGAAGAATGCTGAACAGTCCTAGTTCCTGCAACTAAGTTCACACCATGGCTTTGCCTGTGAGGCAAACTTGAAGGAAATTATTTAACAGTGCTAGTGTTTGAGAGGCATATTTGGTGCGCAAAGGGTTAAATATCCAAATAATATTCATTCAGTTTTTCTAGATCTGTATATTTGTAACATGATTTTTACGAATTAAAAGAAGCAGTGAAAATATTTCAATCTGAAACATATTTCCAAAAGTATTTTCTATGTTTTTCTTTTTTTCTTTGAGTTTTGAAGTGTTTACTTTAGAATAAAAATATTACATTTAAAATAATAAAACTAAAGCAAAGTTTGGGGGAGTTACTATGTAATCTAATAATTGATGGCCTATATGGTTAAATCATTTCCTACTTATGTGTCAATAAGTGCTAAGTGTTTAGCAAATAAGAGTTTATTACGTAAGTGGATAAGTGAAAAGATATGTCTATTGCTTTTAAAAACTAGCTGCGGATAAACAAATCAACTTCTGATCGGAATACTCAGGCCCACCTAGCGGTAAAAGCCGTTGAACACTAATAGTTCTGTCTGGGTTTCGAGTCCCGACGAACGGGCTAGCTGCATGGCGTTTTCGTGGTTTCTCCCCATGTGCAGCGTGGATACGAGCCAGTTTCCTTAAAAAGTGGGGCATTCCTCACTTTACGTGTAGTGCCTAAGGGCGAAGCACGTAATAAATAAAAAGATCGGAATATTCATAAGGCAGAAATAATGAACTGATTCCCTGCCCAATGTGCAACAAACTGCAGGCTATTAGTACTTACAGGTGCACTGGTAGTTCTACCCTTAAATTCTTGAATTTAGTAAGGAAGCCTTTTCAAAAATTTTCAAACAGTATTGCGTAAAAATTTTAAATAAGTATTCGTATTTAAGAACAAGAACATATCTAATAATTTCCTTCTTGTCTGATGGTCTTATTCAATGTTTGGTTTATATCATTACGGCAAAGCCTCAAGGGCCATCTGCCTAGGGGGAGGGATGCCTTCGTGGAGGAATTTGTAAGGGAAACTGGCTCGTATACACGTTACACACAGGGAAAACCACGAAAACACCTGTTTTAGTAATATTATTTTGATTTCTTTTGTAATTTTGGATTTTTTCTACAACTGTGAGCTGTATCGAGTTGTAAACTTCAAAACTAAGAAATTTAAAAATATATCATTTTCCTTATTCCCTTCAAAATTTATTTCACAATAAAACTGAACTAAAAATAAACTAGGGCTCCAACACTGGTTAAATATTAATTCAGTCCACCACTTCCCGTTGTCAGGCCCCATGGACATTTTAGAAATTACTTCACTAAATGCGTTAAAATTTCCTCATTACAAGATTACATTAAACTTTGTACAAAATTTAAAGCATTTAGTATGAAATTCGTATAATTCTCCTACTTTATTTTTAATTTCTTGCTTCAGAAATGATGTTCTTTTATTTTTACTTAATTTGCTGAAGTTTTTTAGTGACTCTCTTTGACTATTAATATAAATCCTGTAACAGTTTTTCAGTGAGTCCCACCATCGGCCGAGGGGTTGAAGACCACCAAGTACAGGATGTTCGATTACAAGCAAATGGGCTAGCTTAATGATTAGTTTCCGTGGAATTAAGCATACATAACGTGAACACGAGTCAGTGTCCCATAGAAATCCACCGCGAAGGCATCCCTTCTTAAGCAGATATCCCTTGTGTGCTTTCCATATTCAAATAACCTTACCTTTAAATTCTAGTGACAAACGTGATGTTTTTAAGAAAATCATTTATTGTAATACGTGATAGCATCTTAAAATTCGTTAAGCTATTTAATATGATGAATCAAACATAGGCAGTAAAAAGAAAAATCTAGCTGGCACGTTTTTCGAGGAAACGAAATAACAATTATTATTTATTTCAATTAAAACTTTATAGATAGAAATGAAAATTTACTGTATATTTTTTTTTTATTTTATTTATAGTAGTGCGAGAGGTGTCCATAATTGTTTTGTCGTTCTCCTGGAAATACAACTTCTTCGAAATGCCGAAATAATTTATGAAATAGTGTTCACCTTAAAACCAAAATTTAAGAAAAGTTTTTATATTAATACTTACCACACCGTTGCATACATTCAGGGACACTGAAGAATTTAAATCATTTTTTAATCGCCCTGTATAGATACAATTTCTTAGATGAGAAGAGTCGCTCACTTGGAGCGTAGAGTTCGTAACACTTTCTTTTACAGTCATCACATGAAAAGATGGCGAAAGTATATATTCACGTGGTTCTACTTGTAAAATGAAACTACGGTTGAATCCACTAAAACTGTAGGAAACACAGTCTTTCGCACTTAAAGTTTCGAGGAACACACTTTCTAGTTTCTGTTGGTTTACCGCACCTGAAAAATATAAACTCAGTTTAGTAATATATATTTGTAAGTTAAACTTATTGAATATTGAACATAATTATACAAGAGTTCTTTATCCTATCACCCTTATTCTTAAAAATGCAAATGCTGTTTTAAAGCACCGGTAATTAAACATCTATATTTAAAGACGCTGATAGGTTTCTATTTTAATTAACCTCTCCTGCTCCGATTCAGTTTTGTTTCACGTATTATTTTAAGTTTTAATTCGAAAGAAGCTGAAGTTCATTGCTGAACCTTTAAATAACGTTAAGGATAAATTCTGATTGAGTTAAAGTTTAAAAGAGAAAATAAAATTTATGATGTTTACTGAACAGTTAACGATATTTTGTTTCATTTTTAATACCATTAGATTGTTAATCGATTCCTTGTTCAAACTTGATTGAAAATGCTTAAATGAAAAAGATCCGTTAATGAATGTAAATGTTTTCCTTATTTTATTTAAAATTGTATACATAATTCATGAGAGGGTTACAAATTTGTTCATCGCAAAAAATATTTCTATTCAGTAAATATAATACACATAATGTATGATACTCAAATATAATTCTGAGATAGATCTTTCAAGACGTATAATGCAGGATAACTTTAAATTTTTGCAAGTTCATATTTATCCATTCATTGGCAGTGGCATGTGCGGAAAATGCAGTTTTCTTTATATAGTTTTAATTTTTTTTCTTAGAAAGTCTGAGCATCTGATCATTTGCGTAGTTATGTATAAAAGTGTGAATGTTTGAAGCTGCTATTATTTAGCTTTTTTTTTTTTTTTACATTCCTTCACCTCTTTACTTCTTGTCGGATCACGAAGTTTGACCATTTGCAGATTTCATAATTTGCGGTTTGAACTACGTGAAAAACGAAAATTTCCGCAAAAAGAAATTTTCATCCTTTGAGGCAAATACGTCCGTTAAAATGAATGATATCCGATATGTAAGGTGGGATCAATCACGTCCTGTCCATCAGCAACGAAAAATATGTTTCCAAAATATTTCCCCGAGCGAAAATCTGCTATGGATTTCATTATGTTGCAAATAATTCTTAATAACTATCATACGTCGGAGGCATATCTTTCCAAAAACTTTAAATCTCTAGAATTTAACCCTAGAGCATATATCATTGAAACTTAAGGGTACACCAAGTTTCACTACAACTTGCCTTATGCAGTTTAACATTATTTTAAAGTATCACTGCTAAAGAAACCGATTTTATTTCATTAATGAGAAGGGGAACTGACTTCTAATTTTAAAAGTATATTGAATATTCAGAAGAAAGTTATTGGTGGAGTCAATATAATAGTGGAGAATATGGAGAGTATAATAGTGGTCAATATAATAGTGGAGATATTTATAATTTGAATAAGTTATTCAAATTATAAATGTATGATTTATTATATTTCGGATATAATATTAATGAAGAAATTCAAACTGGTTTTTCTACTCTTAAAATAATTGTAATACATCTCATATCGGTGGTTTATAATCTGTAAGGTACATTTATCTGCACACATCCTTAATCTCGTGAGATAATGATCCTTAATCTCGTGAGACAATGATCCTTAATTTCGTGATTTCACATTACATTAACCTTATTAATGTGGAATTCTTGCTTGAAGTGTTCCATAGAAATATGCTCTTATGGTAAAGAAATTAATGTGCAAGTCATTTCCAAGTTTAGATTACAAGAACAATAAACTGATTGCTGACTATTATTGCATATGTTGACCATTAAGCATCCTTTTCAGCTTACAGGCAAGCTGAATAAGTAAGCTAACTACTACTGCAGGTGTTAGCGTTTGACAGAAAATAAGACCCATTTTTATCTTAATATTAAATATAGAATAACTTTTTATGAAGAGTTTTCTTATAAACCTAAAATAAAATTTGAAATCGAAAAAGTTCGTAATCTGATTTAAATATGAAAATTTTGATATACCTCATGATGTTTTATGACTTAGTAATGCGTGGCTAAATACTATACCAATTCAGACCACGGTATTTCATACTTCTTTTAGATTTCTGCTTAATCTGGCTTCATGAACCCGCACTCTTGTCTGCCTGCATTTAACAGAAAGGAAGCGATTAATCTGCGTATGAATAGAAAAACTGTCGAAATACTCGCACAGTATTACCCACCATGTTCACAAGTCCTTACCCAGCCTTTATTTTTGCAAGTCCTTACCCAGCCTTATTTTGGTGGCAGACATAAGCTTTCAATTATAGTAATGTGTCAAATGTTCATGTTTGGGCGTTTTAAAATTTAAAAAAAAAAATTGTTAAATTTTCGAAATCTGGCTTTTTATACAATCCCCTGATTCTTAACTTACATACAGGAAAGTTTTATGCTCAGTATAATAAAAATATAATTATCGTAAGACAAAACTGATTAAAATAATTCATTATGAAGTTGGAGACCATATTTCGGGGCTGGAGAAAAGCTGAAGAGGAAATGTTTGCATTCGTGCGTAACTAAAAATAAAATATCGGTTCAGAGAAAATTTTGTGATGTTTACAGATTAAGTGACGAAAATTTCTATGCAAAGTAACGTAAAAATATTGATCCCAAAAATGGTTTTTCGCAAGAGGTCTTATTCACAAAATCTTGCAGAATTCATATTCTTGAAAGTACTAGCAAGCATCTCACCAAATCTTAACGTGACTTGCATAAATTAATTTCCAGTTTAGTGCATTTTTCTGTATGATTATAAGATTGATTCTAAAGTAACAGAGGCCTAGAGTTCAGCGACTTTACCACTCGGCCGCGGTAAAGACTCTGAACACTGGTGCTTCGGTCCGAGGTTCGAATTCCGCGAACGGGATGGCTGTATGGGCGTTTTCGTGGTTTTCTGTATGTGTAACGTGCATACGAGCCAGTTTTCCCTAGAAAGTCCTCCACGAAGGCATCCCTCCCTTTAGGCAGACAGCCCTCGTGTGCTTTGCCATAATTGAATAAAGCAACCAAATCTAAAGTAACTGAACTGCTTAAGAATATTAATAACATTTTTTTAAGTGTTTGAAGATTGAAACCCTTGAAATATATTACATTAACAAAAAAATATTGTTAAAAATGTTATGAAATCACAAATGTATATCATTCAGTGGTATTTAAGGAGAAAAAATGAGCCTTGAATAATTTTAATTACGTATATTAACCGACCCTTGAAGGCAAGTTGAAAATGGTGTCAAATATCCTAAATTTTGAAGCTAAGTATCTCGGTCAATTTTTGCCATAAGGAAGTCAAACTTTTTGCGTTTTATTCTCTATAAGGAGTATAAAATTTTCTAAATTATAAATAGGGACTTAAAACCATATAAAAGTTAGACTTGAAAATGTTTTTAAAAATACTAAAACGAAATTTTGCATCTTTTTTTTTGGGGGGGGGCCCATTTTTGCGTTGGATGCATATATCTATGATCAACGTTTGCGAAAATAAAGGGTGAAGGCTTTCATGGATATGATGTGATATTCGTTTGTTTGCCTACTCACTCTGATTCACGTCATCCTCCCACAGAAAAGAAAACGGAGAGAAAATAACTACAATAATTTAATGCTTCACGTTTTTAAAAACACTTTCGTCGCGCACATGAAAGCCCTCATAGATTCAAACTATTTCCACAAATTTAAGTGAAACTGAGTAAGTTATGAAATAAGTGCAAAGGATATATTCTCGGAACTATTATAAATACAAATACTGATTTTTATCTAGGAGATCGAATTTCATTTTACTTTCCAGTATTCGTATTTCTCAAAACTAAAAACTTGTGGTTATGAATAGCAGCAGCAGCAGCCAAAGTCCTTTTAAATTTAAAACAGTGACATTTCTATCTGTAATACGCAAGCCGATGTTCTACTCCCCACCGTTGCTATTAATCTGCGGTTTATTTTTATAAGCTATTTTTCAAAATACATATTTCGGATTTTTTATTTTATTATCTAATTTAATTTAT